CCCCAAAACCCCAAAACCCCTCAAATGTAAATAAGTTGAAATTATGAAATTAAAATTAGAATTCAATATAATATTGTTCATTTTTAGAGGCAATCATAACTAGTTTTTTCGAAAAGCATTTAATTTCGGAGAAGAGGGAGCAGAATACTGCATTTTATTTGATTTCTAAATGTCTACTTTGATTTGAGTTTTCTATTGATGACCAATTTCAGGATATATTGATGGTACTGTGAATTCTGTCTGATAATTATTTGCCACACTATGAACTTGAAGAGTTGAAGACTATAAAATATTAAAGAATTTATATTAGTTACAGGTCTATTAGTTGTTAGCTATGTGGAGATATCTTTCAATTTCTCTCTTGCTAGTCTTTTATAATTTTAGTTGTTCAGAGACTACTGGAGCAGAGGAGTTTTAGCTCTCTTTGAAATCATCTCAAATGATGGATTTTTAGGGAAATTAATGTGAACCTTATCTCCCTCATACTAAGTTCTATCATGCAGTATGGCATCAGTCATTCTGTTCAGATTTGCCTTCTTATTCAAACTATTAAAAATCAAATATAATAATAAATACGGGTTATCTATCATGAAATTCTCCAGTGAGGCATTGTTTGATGGATTAGCTTGCTGCAATATGTTCATTTTCAAATACTTCATATGTTCTTGCATACTAGGTGAAATATCATTGATGCTTGTTCCCACATTCACTAAGCTGCTATTATTATGATTCTAGTTTGCAATGCTCTTATTGAGCAAAGGATTAAGCTTTTAGCCGTGCAATGGTGTATTATCATAGCTACTAAAGTCACTTATAGATTTATTCATCTTCGATTTATTGTTAAGCATATAGGAGATTTTGTCCACCTATAAAATTTCAGGAAGTATATCAAATCCCTAATTCTCATCATTTTATTCCAAATTTCTTGCTTAAATTTTATCTTCCTTAACCTTTAACATGTATTAGTACTAGGTCAGTAATTTCTCTACAAATACTTTATTTCTATTAGCTAAAACATCCTTAGGAACTTTTTAACCAGCAAATTCAACAGGTCTTGGCTAGTATGCGAGACAAGCCATTTTAAAAGCTGACTTTATTATAGGATTGTTTTAGTTTGAGCAAGTCATACAGGTCTTATCAAGCTTTATCATCTATCTTGATTCCTCAGGTTTAGAATTAGAAAGCACATGGTTCTCACCTCCCATATTTCCCCCTATCGTGCTAATACCTACAAGTGACAAAGATTTTCTATCTTCTTCATCTTAAGCAATAATTGTGTTGACTATGAGCAAACTTTCTAGCATTGCATTCTGAATCTCAGCCATATTCTATGCTTAAAATCCAAATACTTCTATCTTTGTGCAGTTCTATTCAACAATCTTGTTTACTTTGCTCATCTCGAACTGATTATCAGATATCTCTCTTTTCCTTCGAGTGATTGTTTCGTTTAACTACTCTTAAATCTTTTCAGTAATATCGTCATATTTTTCAGTAAGCTCTACTTTTATCTTAATCTTTTCTTACTCTAGAGAGTTTATAATAAGTTTGGTAAGCCTTTCAGAATCTTATCTCCAAAGTACTTCATTGTGATTGATAACATCATTTATCTTAGCCAATTACTCACTTGTCTTACCATTGTAGTTATCTTGATCTGAGAAGTATTCTAGCATCATCCTTCTTATCTTCTTTATCATTACATTCAACTTTCTGAATTTCTTGTTTACTACTCTATTGCCTGAGAATGTATCATTGCTTGACCCTGTCATATTTTCATCATAGTCTTCCATTTCTAGTTCCTCATCTTCTGCATCAGAAATCAAGTCTACATTATCTGGGTCATTTTCTTGCAAGTTCATTAATTTCTTCTGCATCATCTCCTCCTAATCATCTGATTCCTCTTTATTAAATTCAGTGACACCCTCTTTTCCCACTACCTTCTCTGTTTGAATATTTCTGCCTGAATGTTTCTAACTCTTTTTGGTGTTTTACTTTTTAATAGATGAATTTTGTCCCTAAGGTGTCATTGGCTCATTATGATTAAGCTCTGTATTTTGATGAAGCACCTTGGATTTTGAGACTTTAAGTTTCTCAAAGCTTGAGTTATTTCCAGCGGCATCAGTTGAGGATTATCTTTGAAATCTTTGAGATCTGTTTGGTGATTAATGAAAGGTTGCTCCTTGGAATGATTCTTAGTTCATTGGATCTGGTTTGTGAGTGATTATTTAATTATTTCGATTTTCCCTTGTCTCTGAGAAAAGTTTATGAGAAATAGTCATCTCTTAGGATGTCTACTTTGCCTCATTTTAAATAGGCTAACTCTTCTATTCCATTTAACTCTGCTCTTCTTTTACACCCTGACTTTATGTTTCAATTAGATTCTTTAGAATTTTTTGTTAATCAATGAGGATTTAAGGGAAGGAGCTTGTCAGTTTTTCCTAAATTCTCTGATCCATATTTTGGTAAGAAATTGCGTCAGATCCTCTTCCTCTTGAAAACAAATCTTTCGCCTTAGAGCTTGCATCAAATCTATCATCGTTCAAATCTTTGAATGATTATTTATCCTTCATAGATCCCTTACCAAAGCTTGGGGAACCTTATTCTGAATCAGGTCTTTCTTTTAAAGTAAGATCCTCAATTTGAGAAGTTTAGAGTATACTTTGTCTCTTCAAGTGTCCTTCCACATTTTATTTGGATTAGCCTATTTTATTGAATCTTCCACTCCCAGAAGAGATTCTTCTTTGTCTATTTCTATCTTTTTCAAACTATGAAGTTCCTTTTTAAACTCTCAATAGCTCTTTCTATGTCATCTCATTTTCATAAGCATCATAATCCATATTTTGAGAATGCTTAGATGACAGCTATTTGCTCTCTCTTCTTGAAGGCAATAAAGGTCTATTTTTCACCTCACTTTGCTTCCCTCTATGAGCTAGTGTTTTCCTTGTACTCTAACTGACATTGTCAGCATAATTTGAAGAGCTCATTATATTTTGATTATGCTGCTTAGCCACTTATTTTTAAACAGCGCTCCTCTTTGACTTTAATCTGCTGAAGTTCTTAGCTTCTGAATTCATGTCACTTATTTAACTGTTACTTCTCTGAGTTTGCTCAATCATACCTGCTCTTATCTCACTTCCTCCTTCATTCATTATTTTATTTAATTTCCGCTGCTATTATATAAAACTCAAATCTAGTGTGGGTATGAAAAAATCTCTTTTAGTCAGGCTTGGTTTGCCATCATCATTCGCAATTCCAGATTCTAACTACTCGAAAATGACTGCTAAGTAATCAAATAGTTTAGCCAACTCTTTTTTATCTAGGAACGCAGTTAAGGAATCATAGATAAAATTGAGTGTCTTAAAAGGCAAGTATTTGTCAAGATAGTTGTCAGTTGCTTGCAGCTCAGACTTCAGCAAGTCTATTTCTTATCTAGCAATGCCCATGTGATTTTTGATAATTTTCTGATCATCATTGAATATATCTTCATCTAGTTTCTGCTTGTCTAATCGCTTTATTTCGCTGTTATGGGACAAGAGGTCTTTCTTGGCTATTTCTAATCCCGTTTAAAGATCTCTGAGGACAATCTTTTAGTTTTCTAGATACTGTTCACATCTCTTGACTGGTTAATCGTAGAACTCAATTTTTTCTTTGAGTTCATTAATATTTCTAACGAAAGTATCATGCATCTAAATCATTTCATTATGAAGTTTTTATTTAGTTCCATGAAAGTTATCAACCACTGCCGACACCTCAATTTACTGCAACTGTGTTGATGTTTGATATCTTACAGCTTCACTTTCCACGACTTGTAGTCTTTACTTAAAAGAATCCATGGATGCTTTGAATTAGTCAATTTCACCTTTCAACTTAAGCTCGGCTATTCTTCTGTTCTAATCTTGCTCGTGAATTTTCCTGGTAATATCATCATTGGAAACAGCTTTCTTTTATGCCTTCTAAAATACATACTCCAACTCATCTAGTTTCTTGCGGACTTAGGCATTTTCTTCTTATAGAAAGTATATTTAATTTTCACTCGTCAGAGCCCTCTTTACTGTTGGCTCTACAAGCTCGTAAACTATTTTCCTTAGTTGAGTTTGAAATCCGAACCAATCAATTTCGTTTGCAAAGAATTACTTATTTTCAGTTTTATTTGGTGATTATCCGGTAGGATGTTGTTAAGGACTTCGCTAAGAATCGTGCTCTCCATTTTTATAGCCTTTCTCGAACTATTAAAGCACTGATTTAAATTCAGCATCATTAGGCTTCCTTTTCAGTTTCTTGTCTTTGTTATCTCTATTAGCAGACTATTCTATACTTATCAAAGGCTTTGGTGATAGAAAGGAGTTATTTTCTTAGTCTTCTTGATCTCTTAACTTTTCCATTTGCCAATTAGAAACAAATATTAAAATTAGTTAAATTATTCATAATTTTCTATATCGTAAATAAATACCACTTTGAAATAAATTATACTGCATAAGGGGGTTTTGGGGTTTTGGGGTTTTGGGG